AAGAATACCTATTTTAGCTAGTAATGAATAAAAAAATAAATATAAGCTAGCTTTTAGTAGGAAAAACGTTTTTCTGGTGTAGTAGCTTTAACTGTGAATTTGCATGCATAATAAAATGAATAAAATAACAAGAATAGATAGAATATCGTACAAGTTGTATATAAGTTTATCTTCCTTTGATATTATTAGAATACATTGGGTTACATTTTTCTTATTCCAAAATACCTAATTATACACTGATCAATTTAGGTGAAGTGTCACTTAAGGGGCCAGCTTTATTAACCACTGTGCCGAGCCACTTCGGTAACGAGTTTGGAATGCAACTCAATGTTTTCCGTACATTTTAGCAATAGCATTTTGACATTTGTCAGTCCTTTCACTTGTTCTTACGAATTAATTAATAAAGTAGTAATTTCTTCTACTTACTAAGGTAAGTCTAAGATTACTATTGCAATACCTAACATGTGGAAATGATTCAACTGCAGTTAACTTGTGTAACAACGTCGATAATAATAATAAAAAATTATTGTTCCAATCTGTGTAAAAGCAGATAAACAAAATGACGCGAAATATTAGAATATGTTAAGCTTAATGTCTCCCACTAACAGATTTTCCAACTTGTTAGTCTGGTTTATAAATCGTGACCTAACGCTATATTATTTGCTAAAATTATCTGACCCATGGGAAATTTCACGCACCCACAACGAAGCCCTGCTTCCATAAATTCGTATATAAAACAGTAAAAATTATGTAAATAAAATACCACAATCCGTTATTATAATTCAGTTTGGTGTGTGAAAAAGCTTTGATACTTTTGAAGACAGTTTCCTCGCTTCCATAATATTTTCCTCACATTTGTTTTCAACTTAAAATTTTTAAACACTGTAGGCATTTGAATTACATGTTTTCCAACTTGTTTGTTCTCAAACAAATAGGACTCAGCTTGAGTTGACTACTCCAAAATTGTTTTGTATTTTGAACCAATGTTCCAAACTATAGATTCGTTTTTTGTAATTTTAGTTAACTATTAACAAATTTCCTTTATTATTTCGCATTTAATTTTACTAAAAATTTTAATTATGAATTAAAGCAAATTTTCATTAGATTTGTACGAACGAAATGTCAAAAGCAAAAATATATTTAAAAGCTCGCAGCTCACATTGGCAGGTAGTCAATTAGAGATCAAACGGAGTTTCAAATTTGAGAGTCGAAATTAAATTTCGATTAAGAGACTGTGGACAAAGAATCCTTTAATAGTTATAATATTTTACAAAAGGTCGCTAAAAACGGCGAACTGCATTTTGCTCAGACAGCTGAGCGGGTTATCAAGTTTAAACACCTTGAACGTTTTAAAGACCCTCTTGTATGAAAGGAATTCTGAAACACGGATTAAGTTAGACTACAGCCATCGTAAGTTTTTTATTTCCGTCTTTCACTTTTCAGAAATGCGTCTTGTGATAAAACGTTTTGTTTATTTTGTCTTATTCGTTTCGGTGCTCATGGGAAACGAAAATATTCTTATTTTGCAAATATTATTTATAACTAGTGGGAGAAAAGACTTTTTCTACTCCCTACTCTGGAATACCCAATTATGCAGGAATCAAGTGTGTAGAGAGAATCGCTCAGCTTCGTCTTGAAGGTCGGGAGCCACTTCGTACATTTCCGGTATATAAGTCACGGGTCTGGGAGCGATGGGATATTTTTGGTTCTAAGATTTGCTTTAAAAAAACTGCTGGACACCTGCATATCACCAGCACATTGACTAATGCATAGAATACCCACTCATAATACTTCAAATTGTAATGCTATCATTGGTTAACTCAAATTAGGGCAAGCTTAATAATATTGCAATAATAGTTCAAGTTGGTAGTTCCGGAAATATGGATGAAAACTGAAATTTTCGATTTTTAAAATAAAAAAATCTCCTAATACATTGTCATTTTTCCGTTTTGATTTTAATTTTTTGTAAAAGTCAAAAATAGACGTTGTACGTCTTTTATAAGTTAGCAACAACTTTCATTTTCCTTATGGAAGCCATATTAGATTTTTGCAGGCTTGGTTAGTTACAAATTCCGAAAATTCCGAAAATGAAAATGACATTTTATTAAATAAAAATTTCCACGAAAGCCTATTATAGCATAAATATATTTAAAAGAATTAAGTTTCATAATTTTCTATTTATTTCATTATTCAAAAATTAATAGAGGTGCTCTTTAAAACTGCAAAAGTGTGCCTTCTTTATTAGAAATGAACAAAAACGAAACACCGTACGAAATTTGAAATAAAACTTGTAAAAAAATAAAATCGAAAACTGTACATTTCTGCTGACTTCCTGCTTGTCTTGTCTGGCATGACATACATTTATTAGAATTTTATTATAGCAATTACAGGTACAAACCCTGTTTGACATAGATTATTCAAGCCAACTGGTGGCGTTGACAATAACCACCAGATCCGACAATATTTTTGCTAAAATATTATTTACGAGAAAATATTTTATATTTGAATGTTTTGGAACTAGATATCCACGTAGAGGTTTTCATCATTATGATTTAATAACAATCAACGAAAGAAGAAACCATTTTTCTTATTCATTTTTTGTATAATTGAATTAAAAAATATAGCTCTAATACTTTAAAAACCGTTGGAAAGAGAGGGAATAATTTCAGTATTATGTGAAATTTTTTTAAAATTTTAGAATTATACCATGTAAAACAAAATTATATCAAAGCAATTATCAAGTTTCGATCTAACCGTTTCTAGCAAGGATTTCACAAAAACATCACTTGTGGTACACTCAGCAATTACTAATCAAAGTAGCGAAAATACGGAGAAGTCAGTCCGGGATATTTTTTATTATGCCTCAATTTGGTTTATTTGCTGTTGTTGGCTCGTAAAATGATGGTAAATTAAGCTGCCCTGTTATTGCGAAGCCCCGAAGCAATATTTTTCGAAATATTTAAAGTATAATATTTCTCCGAAAAATTTTATCCACGTGTTTCCCGAGATAAGGAAAATATAAATTTCCCTGTCTGATGTATCTCGACGTAAATAAATTATCCCTCGTAAAATTATATTTGTTACATTCGTCTCTCGAAAATAAAAGAAAACCCACCGACCCGAGTTTGCCGTAAAACATAATCGAAAACTCGTAAATCTCACGGGTGAGACGCGATGCGACGCGTCTTTCACCAATCGACGCGATAATGATTCCCCTGAAATGGCCCGGACGATAACAGCAACTACGATAACAATAGAGCTTCTTTATTTAGCCGGATGATTTATCTCTGAATTGCCTCTTATATTCTAAATTAGGTGCCGTGAAAATGTTTGGTCAAAAGTTAAAGTTGAAGAAAACTTAATCTCGAATAATAAAGCACAGCACTCGAACCTTTATGTTGTAGCAATAATTGCAGTATAGTAGCACCAGAAACCTATCGAGCAGCGGGTGACCGAATGAAGGCAGGGACGCACTCGTTACGGATGGAATCAAATGATGCGCGGCTAGATATCTGTATTTACTAGTTGTCAAAAATAAAAATAAATACGTATAATTAAAAATAAACTTGAACCTATTTGAATTTCACTCTCACTGTCACTGTCGTCGCGCAAGTTCACAATAATTTACAATATTCTATATACATTTACGTACGATTACGCACAATTTTCTCAGCTTTTGTTCGGAATATTCTGCATCTCCGTCTGGATGAAATCTACCACAGAAAAATTAGCAAAACATTATTTCTTCTTAGCGACGCTTTGAGGGGTTTGACCTATTTTTTCCTCTAAAGTGTAACAGTATTTTTTTTTATTGAAAATGATGTTAAAATTTAGAGGAACTGCTTTTTGGTATAGTTTTCCATAATATAGTTCTGAATGGTACTTTTTGTGTCAATGCAGCAAGCCATAGCATAGATTACTCTCACTCTATGTGGTAACCATTTGTTCACAAACTGGTCTTCAAATACACTTACCCGATCCATACCTGGAGCTGGAGCTGGAAAGCTGGAAAATTTTCAGAATGTCTATCACTACGAAACTAAGGATCTATTGTAACGCAATCCATAGTTATAGATCTATATCTAAGTAAGTCTCTCTGATTAGATTCGATAACGGCTCCTTGGTTATCTTCCTAGCCTCTGGTTTGGTTAAGCTCAGCAGATGAAACGACACTCTCGATATGTAATAAGTCTTCACATTGACCTACCGTCAGGAGACCTACCATTATTCCAATGGTCATTCTTTCAGGACTTAGCAGGTCTGCAGTTAATTTAGTGGGGCTAATCAAGAATTGGTTGACTCGTCTTTGTTCTTTAGCCAGAAGTGGTCTCTCAGTAGAGCGACCATTATTCGGCTTTCCTTTTGAAGCTTTTTGAAGCTGCTATAAATTTGACCTCTGAGGAATTCTTTGGCTTGCCTTTGTGGTGGCGTGCTTCTACAGAATCATGCCTAATGATTGATTTTTATAACAAATTTCCATGAACAATTTTTGGCTAATTGCATTTTGGCTGCAACATTCCATGGCGTGAATAATCATGTTATAAAAGAATAACATGAAAAAGTTATTATTATTCAGTAATTAATTGATTCCATTAGTAAACTACGGTTTTCGTGGTAACAGACAAAATTTGATATTTAAGAAACATTTTATTCAATTTTGACTTCTGTGTGTTACATTTTAAATACCGGACGTTGATTCATAAGACCCATGGTCACGTGAACAAGCACGACTTCAATTCTCCAAGAACTCCCAATCATATCTCATTTCCTTGATTATATGAAATTAAACTTCAAGAAATTAACACCAACTGCTGGAAGTTATTACCAAAATTTAGGCGAATGAAAGAAAATCTTGGCTTTTGGGCGAAATATAACATTATAAGCTACGTATTGCGGCAGAATGTGCACTCGACAAGTATATGTGTGTAAAAAATTCGGAGAATTTCCAATTTAATAAAGAGGTCAGTACGTGACTTCGGTATTCGATATAATATACTCACCCAAAATCCCGAGCCTGTAGTTTACCGTTACCACAACCACACTGCCGTAACTCGCCAATACGGTGCCGTCGTAGGGGTTCCCCGAATTCCATTCATAGCTTTCCCCGTGGATGAAAACAATCACAGGATATTTGGGTTGACTGCTGCCCTCTCTCGTACCTGCTGAAAAGAATTACCAAATTATATTCGGCATTTGAAATTTCTCGAGTTGTATAATTGGGAATATTTGTGGCAACGTATTCTGAAGTTATTTGTATCATGTCGCTTCAATTTGTATTGACCGCTTCCAATTTAGGGTACATCGTATACATTTAAAATAGACACAAGTTAGTCTCTTGATAGTTTAGTGAGCGATCGCTTTTTCATGAAGTTTGACTTTTTTATTCCAAGAATAACCTGCTATTGTTAGTAAGCATTTAAAAAAAGTTATAATTTTGATTACAACGGATACAGTATGTGCCATTGAGCAATTGAAATTTCTCCAATTTTTTTATAAAAAAAAATTCGGGTTATATAAAATTCTATATAGTGTACGGTCGAATAAGTCCTAGGGAATTAAATTGTTTTAAAACAATAATTGTTATTATGTTATTAATTATAAGGAAATGACGATTCTAGAAGAACTCGGAAGCGAGTGTTTTATCCCCGGTTGTGCAAATAATAATTCCTAAAGACGGTAATTGTTTTTATCCGCCAAATTTAGTGCGAAAAAGAAATTGTTTGCTTGAAGGTGGTAGACAATGATTAAGTAGAAATATTAAAAGAATCTCAAACCTGAACTTGTTCACCAATTCAGGTTATTCTGCTAAGCGACTGCTTCTAACTAACCGGTGGGTGTTTTAATGCAAGATCAATATAACATCCAATGGTCTGTCCAGAATTGTTCGTAAGAAACCGCATTTGAAAAAGCAAAAGGAAACATTTTCAGCAGTCCTTAAAGTAAAGTTGCAACTCGAATGTGACCCGGTGTAATTTCATTAGTAAGCATAGTATGGAGCAGAAAGGGAAACATCAAAAAGTCTGCACAACATATTTTTTGTTGCTATTTATCAACCTCTACAAGAGAGAGTAAAGAGTAAAAGTTTGGCACCAATCAACTTTTGATTAGTCTGGCAAATCCACTGCATCATCGCAGTGAAGCAAAAGCATGAAACCTTTTCAACTAGTACTAAACTTATTGTATTCCTAGTGTACAACTTAGTAGCGGATAAACATAAATATTGATATAACTTTGGGCGAAACGTGATCGTTTAAAGTTGGCTGATATTTGCATTATTGTATGCTTATTTTATTTATAGAAATTAGGCTGCTAGCTGAATAGCGGGAAGGTCTGTATTTTTTTTTTGCTAAAATATGCGTACTAAATTTGTTTTATAATTAGAAATTTATTGTGTTTTAAGCACTTGCTTTTTTTTAGAAACAGTACACGTGGTTAGGGTGTTGGCGATCTAGTTCTATTGAGTAATTTTAGAAAACATCCTCACAGTTTAGTATTCAATGATTTATTGAATTTTTAAATAAACCAATATTTATATTTATGCAAAATAAGATGTACAAAATCGCCTAAGAATGGAATTTTGTATGGCAACCAATTTAAGTTTCTAAAATATTCAAAATATATTGTAAATCTGATAAAACAAAAAAATGTGCCATTATTGCATTGAAAAGATAATGTTAATTTGAAAAAATACTTTTTTTAAAATTTATGTAACTCACAGTAAGTAATATTAGAATAAGGACGTTTATCCAAATACTGCAATTATTTATTAAATATCTTACAATGATTACTTATTAAATTAACATACGTTTTGCTTTCAGAAAATTAGTCAGGGAAGGAAGTTCTTATCTTGAGAGCAGCACTAATTTGTGTGCTATTGCTCAATCTATTTAATAAAAAGTTGATTATTTTGTGTTAAAAACTAAAGCAGAAAACTTCATACCCTTATCTACTAAATACCATAATTCCGAACTTAAAAAAATGCATCCTCACTAACCATATGTCTTAGTAGCAAAATTAAGTCAGTTGGTTACAACACCATGTTAATAGATTTTCTTTGAAGGATAAACCGATTGTCCGATTATCGGGCCTTCAAGCGTTAAAATTGACCTAGTTAGGACGCCGCATTTCGTTCTAGGCAAATCAAGCGTCGTCTATTATTTTTTGTCTTCGCCATTGTCTATAATAACGACATTCTTAACAATAACGCATAGCTATATAGACATATAGCTATGCCGATACTCGCGAACTATGTTAAAGATCATTTCTTTAGGGCGTTTTGGTTCGATTTGTGTTTTTGAAGCGGCCATAAATTAAATAACTAATTTATTAAAAGATGTACACTTTTGGCGTCCGTTTCTATACTCGGATGCTATACTACCATTTAGATTAATGCAGAATAATTTAGAACTCCTGTCAATCCTTGAAAAAATTGTACTCTTTACTGAGTCCCTCCCTGAGTACATAATTCCAAATTTACCAATATTCAAAGTAAAGGTAAACTTTAGAAAAATGTCAGTCGTTTCGGTCCTACCTTAAATGTTACGGTGTACAATGTGTCCCACTGAAGGACCATACACCCTTGCGAAATCTTTGTTTATCTATTGATTTTGATCATTTCTTTATGTTGTATAGATCCCTGAAAAATGAACAAAAACCTTGTTTTGTTTAATGTCAAACAGCTGTTAGGGATTTCTTTAAGTAAAAAGGGTAAAGGAATTCTTATTCAGGACTCCATAAAACCTAACTATACTAATTTCCATGAAGTTTGGTTAAACATTACTCCCGTAGAATATTTGTTTATGGCTCAATTTAGTAAAGATAAATGAAACGGTTCTTTTCAAATTGAAACTGCTAACAGATTCGTGTTCCGCACTACCTAAAAGTAACTAGACCAATGGCCAAAGTTTTTTTAATGTTTTAAAAAATAAATATTGTAAACCTTGTAAATAACGATTATTTTATATGTGATTTTAAGATCTAACAAACTTTAATTACACAAATTTCAAAAATAATGATAAAAAAGGCTTTTCATTTTTCAGTATCATCTTGAAATAACAGCATTAATAAAGTATAAATTAGCGAGTCAATTTGACTGTCGAATATTCGCTTCTCCATGGGAAAATTAGTTTTACAATTTTGATGTGTCTGTTATATTTATTAATGGATGAGAATTAAAAATCCTTTTAAATTAAAAAATACAGCGTTGTAAGGTCTTGTTAGTTCATTTCTATATCCCTCTAATCATAGATACTTAATTTTAGAAAAATCGTTAGTGTCTTTCAGTGAAATATATCCAACAAAAAATGTATATCAAAATTGAGCCATAAACAAACATTTATACAGGAGTAATGCTTAAGCGAGCACCCTGTATTCGAACTTCATCGAAATTAGTAGAGTTAGGTTTTAAGTAGTCCTGAATAAGGATTCGTTAACACCTTATTCTTAAAGAAATCCCTAATAGCCCTTCTCTATTTTTGATATCAAAAGTTAGTCCTAGTTCGTCATGACTTCAGGTTGATGTAATAAGAAACATAAGGTTTTAGTGCGCTTTTGAGAGATCTATCCAACAAAAAAAAAATCAAACCGTAATCAAAGATTTTACAACGACGTACAGCCTTAAGCGGCGTGAAAACGTTATTTCAAACACCGTGTATTGAAACATTATAAAAATTGGTATAGTTGGATTCTAAGTACTCATGAACAAGTGTTCGTTGCCAATTTTTTTTTTTAATCTCTAATAGTACTTCTCTCTTCTCTCTCTTGTGTTAAATAGTCTCAGTTGGCCATAAGTTGAAGTTGAAGCAATAAGCAAAATATGGTATTTATATGGTATGGTAAATATATAGGGTTTGCAGGTTTTTGCAAGTATAATGGAAAATATTATTTATTTATTTTTTTCCAACCGCGAATATTGAAAAGTCGGAGACTTTGACTTCAATATGAAGAAGTATACAGAATTTACATAAAAAAAATAAAGAATTTAGCATGTATTTCCCATCAATTTTCCCATATTATTTCAGACTGAGGATTGAAAAATATAAGTACGGGTCTGTATTATTATTCCTCACCAGACTGGCATATTTAGATTTTATTTTAATGGATTACGTTCTTTCATGTGGTGGAAAGGAACGTTGTATTTTTTATGAAGGTATTAGATTAGATTAATCCAATCGGAAAAAATATAAGTTCGATGCGCTGCGTAATTTCGAGACGGTTCTGTACAATGAAAATAATTTATCCTGAAGACACCTCTGTATCTGGGCACAGGCAAAAATTACTACCTACAGATAACATACGAGGTGTGTGTGTTCAAAAAGTATCGCGAATTTTGTGTTTTTTCAAAAATTATTTATTTATTCATGAATATCTATTTTGTCCCCTTCAAAGTAATCCCCATGAGATATTATACACTTGTGCCAACGGTTTTTCCAATCTTCGAAGCACTTCAAAAAATCATTTTTTTTTTATCTTCTTCAGCTCCTCCTTCGATGCCGTCTTTATCTCGTCAAGAGAAGTGTAACGTAGCCCTTTCATGGGCCTCTTCAGTTTAGGGAACAAGAAAAAGTCACAGGGGGCCAGATCTGGGGAATACGGTGGCTGCGGCATCATTAGTGTGTTGTTTTTGGCCAAAAAGTCGCGCACAAGCAACGATGTGTGAGCAGGGGCGTTATCGTGGTGCAAAAGCCAATTTTTGTTCTTCCACAAATCCGGGCGTTTCTGGCGGATTGCTTCGCGCAAATTGCGCATAACTTGCAGGTAATTATCCTTATTGACCGTTCTTCCCTGTGGCAAGAACTCATGATGCACCACGCCCCTACAATCGAAGAAAACTGTCAGCAAAACTTTCACATTCGACCGAACTTGGCGCGCTTTTTTCGGTGTTGGTTCGTGCGGCAGCTTCCATTGAGATGATTGAGCTTTGGTTTCCACGTCATAACCATAAACCCACGATTCGTCACAAGTTATGACCCTCTGGAGCAAATTTGGGTCGTCGCGGACGGAGTTTAACATCTCATTAGCAATGTTCAAGCGATGCTGTTTTTGGTCACAATTTTGGTACGAATTTCGCGGCGACCCGTCTCATGCCCAAGTCATTGATAAAAATCGAATGGTACGAGCTAATCGATATGTTTAGGTCCTCAGCAACTGTTGTTGAGCGTCC